TTGATGCCTTGAACTTCCGGCATGAACTAGCTTCTTATGTATTTTTAGCTTCTTAGAAACTCTTAGAATTAGTAGTTTAAAGTAGATGTTCTTGTGATGATAACTTCCAGGTTTTGGGAATAATAGATGTTGAATATTGATAGTTATTGAATTGGTTTTTATTAATGAGTTTAAGTCTTCCGCATTACTTTCTGTTGTTATTACATTGAAATGTTAAGGTTTAGATTGGTTGGTTCGCTCCCATAGGAGGGTAAGTTTGGGTGCCAGTCGCGGCCCGAATTTTGGGTCGTGACAATGATAGTCTTTGTGAAATACTAAGCTCTGTAGGTCTCCCTTTGCACAGAATGTTGCTCATCATCTGGGAACTCTCTTCTTTTGCTCGGACTATGATGTCTCTACCAGCCAATTCGGGCCTCGGCATTGCTATTAACCATTGGGATCCTAAAGGCTCCACAATCACGCATCAGAGAATTAAACATGAACGTGTTTGTCTTACGCCGTTTTTGGGTATCATAGTATGAAAGTATCAAATTCAATTTACCAAGAAAGCGATGCATATAATCTTTGATTAGTTTTTAGTTTCAACCAATGATTTGTAAGCTTCAAGCCATGTGATAATGGATTTTCGATAGTTATATATAGGTTGCCGCTAGTACTTGTTATTAATAGATGTTTCAATTTTACACGTTCAATGTATACATTGTTTCATAATATTAATGGGATACGTAGTCGAACTTTCATCATATTTGTTTCAATTGCTTGGTTTTCTAATAAATTAGTTCTCCAGTAATAGCTAGTACTTCTCCAATTGTAACTTGCAATTTGCCAAATCATAATGTAATCAAAGCATTGTAATTTGGAGAATTTTACATAGCCAGAAGTTCACAACACACTGCATCTTAATTACAAAATCAGACACGTTCAATCTTAGAATAGAGAATGCACGTTTATCAAGATTCAAAATCCATCTTATAGAAGAGCTACACTACAAAGTGTTTCACTAGATATTTTGAGTTTGAGTTTTCCTCGTAAGGAATTTTGTTTGTTAGGGCTCAATGTGAGATTTCTTGGCGCGAATTGTGTTTGTTAGGGCTCAATGTGAGACTTCTTGGCGCGAATCCTGATTTGGTTGGGCTCCAACGACCACAAGAAAAAGAAGAAGAACAAATTCAAAAGAGACAAATTAATTTGTTCTCTCTGTTTCACAATGAAGTCATTGGATCTAGCAAGTGCTTCATCATTACTGTAATAACCTTCAAACGAGTTATGAATTAACAATTATAGACGGTTTCGCATATTCAATTAGGTTGTTTTGATTTAAAAATTATATCTATTTTAAAGATCTATGGAGATTATTAATTTAGAACTCGCTTATATAAAAAGATTAAAATTCTAATCCATAAACTTTTAACTCTATATCTACCTTCACCATGGGATTAGGGATATGATCCTCTAGGTCCTATTATTTAATTTGCGATACTTTCGAGACGTATTTTTGTGAGGTATATTTAGATCAATTAATTATTTCTTTAGACATCTATCATAAGACTTGTAAATCAGAAAAATAAAAAAAAATATATATAATAATAACATATATCAATGAAATTTTACGAGGATAGAGTAATACCTCGTATAAGCTTTATATTTTTTTTGGCTTTTGCCACCATTATTAATATGTCATTCTTGTGCAAAAATTTTGTTAATAGGAACCAAAGAAGAATGGCTTACGCATATGGCCTTACTTATATGAAGTATATGTATAATTCAAGCTCGGAAAATAGTTATTGTTATAGATAATATCAAATTTATTTCTTTAATTATTTTTGCAAGTGTGTACATAGTTTTAATGTAGATGTAAATGTAATAATTTTATTTTTTATGGGATAAATCATGTTTTATGATAAATTTTTAACATAATTGTATTGATTTCTTAATGAATTTTGATAATTCATACAAACTTGAAGTATAGGTTATTATTAGCTACGTATCAAAATTTGTTTCTCTTTTTTAAAATTAAATTGTTGCAAGTTTATATATAGTTATAGCGTAATTGAAATAAGACTTGAGAATATTTAACATTAGCTATAAATACAATTTTGTTTCTTTTAAAATTAATTTGTTGCAAGTAAGTACATAGTTATAATGTGAACTGAAATACAATTATTTTATTTTCTAGGTTAAATTTTCTATTATAAATTTTAGAAATAATTATATTAATTTTATATTGAATTTTGAATTAC